TACGGAAAAGGAAGAGTGTGTAGATAAGATAGAAGAGAAAGGGGGGGGGGGAGGAACGAGTGGAGTGGTCAGCGACAAGAAACTAGTCGGGACAACTTGTGTGGTTAAAGGAATTTTTCACATTTTGGTTGTTTAACCTTAGAAAGGCTCTGATACCATGTGAAGATTGGAAGAAGAATGATTTAGAAGAAAACCACACTTCATTTTCATTAACAGTATATGGCATTTATACAAGAGTATTAGAGAAAAAGATTTTCATTATACAACAACTAACTGCATTGATATCATATCCACTAATTGTGGAATTCTGTTGTGCCATTTGAATTTGTACCTAACAAGAATAGGTGAAAATATTATAAATGCTTGTATTTGCCTCAAGAGAGGACATTCTCGTTAATCAAATTCTCTTTGTGTCCTTCCAATTCTTTCATCTTTTACTTCTATCAATACCTAATATTAACAACCAAGTAAAAAAACAATTTATAAAAAGTTCAAATTTTAAAAATAATAAAAAATCTTTACAATTGAGTCCTAATATTATTTTAATTTTTATAAATATACTCTTTCTAATTAATTTAATTTTTATAAATATATCTTTTCTCTAAACTCTTTTAATGTATATCATGTTGGCTCAAGGGTCAAAATTTAAATCTCTGGATTTTGATTGATTATAATACAAAACAAATAAATTTAAATTAATGTTTTATTTGCTGCTAATTTTATTTTAATGCAGAATTTTTGTATGGAAAGAAATCGGTAAGAAATCGTACAAGGCAAGTCTTACATTGAGTGAAGATATTCGAAGACCCTAGTGGTTAGGTATTTAGGATACTTTGTAGGATAGAGAGAAAATTCATATATGAGCACATAAATTAGTTTTTCTCTCTCAACAAAAATATTTTTCGGAAATTAGATTCTTCAAAAATAATTTCGTTTGCCAAAAATTAGCTTTCGAAAATATTGTTTAAAACTCAAACGATTTAATTTCCTAAAACTAAAAAGATTTCATCTCAATTGTTTTTGGAAATAAATCAATTGTTTTCTTATTCTTCTCGTTTTAAGTAAGAAGAATCCTTTCGAAAAATCTTTCCAAAATGCTACCGAGAATCTTTATACTTAAAGGAAAGGAAGATCGGCTTTATTTTTTTTACCAAAAGAATAGAATAAAGTTTTTGGTAACTAAAGATTTTCGTATCTTCTAAATAAGAAAAGTAAATATTCTGATTTCAAATGAAATATCCACTTTTCAAACGCAAGAGACACAATGCTCTCTATAAATAGGAACTTTCACGTCTTGAGCTATGGTGAAGTAAGAGTTTTCGTTTTAAAAGCATTCTCTCATTGATCAAATCTTTATCTCTCAAAATTTACTTTCTACCCCCATTTTTCTTTTCATCTTTACTCTTAACGTTTTTATCTTTAAAGAAGAAAAGAATTTTTTTTTTCAACTACTTTAGAAAAACGGTTCTGTGTTCTAAACGATTTTCTAATCTGATAAACTGTTTTTCCTGTGCATATATGTGCGTTTCTTTCTGTCTATTTAGATTCTGTAATCTATAGTAGACAGACTTTTATTTGATAAAACAAGTGTGTAATAGCTTAGGTTAGAAGCTATTGTGAAAGAGGTTATCAAGCAACCTTCTCCTTGTCTGAGATTTTAATGTCTTGAATTGAGTTTCTGTATGTCTTGAATTGAGTTTTCTGTATTGCAAAAACAGAAAGGAGTTGAGGTTAAACTAGAACCTTTGGAAATCTAGTGGCTAAAGGGTAGATCTAGGTGTTGACTCTATTGCTGTTGTACTGTTTTTGGTTTTGTCTCTCTTACCCTTGAAAAGAGATTAAAATATTAGTTGAGGATCTTCAAGATGCGTTTGGAGAGTGGATATAGGTGAGTATAGTCGCCGAACCACTATTAAATTCACTGTGTTCATTTTTTTAAATTTTCTGAGCTTTTGCTTGATAATACTGCTTTTTATGTACACTTCTTAGAAATGCTAAAGTTGAAAATGAATTTAATGTTCTAAAACTGTAATAAGTCTTATCTTTTCTGAACATTAGAACTCTGGAATTCTAATAAGTGAATATACTATATTCTGACTGTTCTTCTATTCACAATATATTTCACTGTTTGGGTTTCTAATTAATTTTCTAAACTTTATGAGGAAGTTCTCATTATAATAGTTCTCCATCATAAAGTAGTTCTGATACTTGATTAAGGCTTTGTGAAACAGTTCTAATTTCAATAACTATCTCTCATTCAGTCTTATATGATTTTCTAAACTTTATGAGGAAGTTCTAATTTCAATAGCTTTCCTTTCAATAGCTTTTCCTTCATAAGAAAGTTCTAATAATTGATAAGTCAGTGTGGAATTGCAGTTCTAATTGATAATGCACTTTGCATAGACTTTTCTATCTTTTATAAATATGAACATTGTGAGGTGATTTATCAATATTCTTTCTACAAAGTTTTTTGTTTTTTTCCGGGGGCTGGCACCTTAAAAAATTCTATATATATTTTGTTTAGAAATTCTAAAATTTATATCTGTGTTTAGAAAACCCAATTCACCCCCTCTTGGGTTGTGCCATACATATACGGGACCCACATATCATTATATTTTTAAATTTATAAACATATTTCGTATTTTTTTATATTTCAAACGTTTCTCCTACGTTTTCATTTACTATATTTTTTAAGATTCCGTCTCCTCATGTCTGTTTTTGCATTTTCACATTTCTTCATTTTCTTTTCGTGCAACCTAGATCAATAAAAAAAAAGAAAAAAAAACAATTGAAATGACGTCAATAATCTCTGTGAAATGATATTTTGACAGATCATCTGGACCAAAAACTGCATCGTTTTAGAGAAGCATTGCATCTGGTTTTGGATGCAGCTCCCATTTTATTATTTGATCATTTCTTTTGCATGATATGGGTGGTGGAAATCAGCTTTTCAAGACTAAGTTGTGCAAATGGGTTAAGTGGACCAATCCTAGCTAACTATGAAGCACTATATAAAGGAATCAAAGAGAGGATTGAGAGGTTGGACTCTCTCGGCACCTAGTTGTGCCGCACGAGGAGAGAGCAAATTAAGAATAGGTAGCCACACAAAGAGAGACAGTAGATGATAGTGTTGAAGAGTAGGTAGCCTCACAAAGAGAGACAGTAGATGATAGTGTTGTTACAATATAAAAGGAAGCAAAGGGAGAGTGGCTAAGTGCCAAACCTTGGACGTGGTACATGCAAGAGCAACAAAGCAAAAAAACTAAAGTTTGATTTATTATGCCCTTTATTTCTTTTGTGCATTTTAGTTTGGTTGATATATTTGTAATAATGCTAGGCTAAATATCTAGATCTAGTTATGGGATTTTTCTCTTAGTTTAAAAGCAACCTTGAATAGTTTGATTTACATTTTGTATGCCTATATTTTCCTGATTTAATATGTGTGAACTTAATGCCTGAGAATATTGATGGCCACATGTTTGCATGATATTAGACTGACTTGTATGATTGGAAAATTGACTTGTTAGTCAAATCTTATGGGTTAAACCTAGAAATTAGACCTAGGGATAGACTGAATTTCTTCGAGGGCCAAAGGAATAGCACCAACTCATCGGGTTTCAATCAATGTAGTACTATAAAAGTAGGTATCATTTTGATTCTAACACGTCCATTTAGCCTTGAAAGAGGAACTTGAATAATTCTGGTTAGTCCTCTTTCAAGAATAGGTATAGTCCATTTAAATCAATTGTTCATGGTTTGCACTCGAACTAATAGAGACTAATGCAGATGAACGAATCCTTCAAGGATAGGAAGCCGCAGCTTTATACGTACGAGGAGATCCATATGTGATCCGTAGCTACATTGTCTCAACCATTTAATTTCTTGAATTTACTTTTGATTATCTCCATTGCTATTTTTAATTTGTATTTGCTATTTTTAATTTGTATTTTCTTTAATTTAATATGCAATTTAGTTTAATCATTATTCCCTATATTGCATCTTCCTAATAATTGTTGAATATTGAAAAATTAACGGCCTATTCCCCAATCCCTATGGATTCGACAATCCTTTTCTATATTACTTATATGACCCGTGCACTTGCAGAGCACATTTCCAGTCAAGTGAACAAGTAACAAATAGCAATTACCAAGTATTGCATTTATAGCATTTAACTGTGTATCACAAATGCAAAATGCAGGTAGGTGATGCGAATTATTTAACACTATTCACCTGGATTTTGTATTGCAATAATCCTAATTAGAAAATTGATTAATCTTCTTGAAACACAAATTAAAACAACAAAAAAACCATGGAAGAGGAAACCATAAATCCACCATCATATTTTCCTTTAATCCAAACATAAGAGTATAAAATAATAAAGAAAAATATCAATTTTTTTCCTTTATTTTCCCTCGTTATTTTCCATTTTTTTTCTAATCCAAACATAGTATAAAAGTTAAAATGTCCTTTCCAAAAGAATATCAGTTGCCCAAATGAACTAGTTTTGATTATTAATTTTGTTTTTAGGAAGCTTGACACTCCCATTGCCTTCAAGAACCATGCACCGAAAAGAATTATTATTCTGCTGATTGTCAAAGTGCAATTAAGAAAGGCTATTTTATTATTTATTAGTAGCATGGATTGTACAAGTACAAGAGTCTACTTGTCAGCAGATCTTTGCACCGAAAATGATTTATTATTCTGCTTGATTGTCAAAGCTGCAATAAGAAAAGGGGCTCAGATTTTATTATTTATTAGTTAGCATGGATTTGACAAGGGTACAAGAGGTCTACTTGTCGAAGGCAGATTCTTCGATCTTATTTTTATAGTGGGGCGGAAATCCCCCCCATAAACGTGACCATTCACATTCATCTTCACTTGTTATATTTTCCTATGAACCCAGAAATTGCCAATATGACACTCTCGGAGGTTTGAGACCGCTAAATTCCCAGCTTGTGTAGCTAAGGACTTACTGGCTCCCCTACTTCGTTCTTTTTCCATCAGCAATTTGGAACAGCATAATTAAATTCAAGCTGGGAAAAGTGATTCTTGTTCTCTTCATTAGTATCAACTGTTTCTGAAGCATAGCAATTCTTCAATAGCCTCAAACAACGGTCATCATTCCAATTATGAAGTATAAACTGATTTTTTTTTTCCAGAGGAATAGAAAAGCCAATCAAATGTCCATGACAAAATGAAAGAAAATGAATAATTAATTAGAAAATGAATATTTTGGATCATAATTAGAAGCAATTTTATTCACCGATCCAATAGTCACTAACCCACGAACCTTTTTCTACTTCTTATCCAAAATCTGCTGTTAGTAATAAGAATTAATCCTTAAGAACCTATATAATAGATAAGAAAATGTATATGTGTCAAGCAATCTATGTGTCAAGCAATCAAATCACCTTCAACAAAATGGCTTCTCCTTTGGGAACTTTCGTAAACATATCTCCACTGATGTATTGAACACCTATACACATTATTATCAAAGAATGTTGTATTTATATAAAATTTCTAATTCGAACTTGTGATTAAGTAATTTATAAAGCATATAGTCACTCTTTCTGTATGATGTTTTGTTTTGTTACCGGAATACGGAGGTGCATCTTGGATAACATGAGGCAAATCAAAGTTGATAGCTTTGATGTTGGGATATTTAGAGGTGATCATTTGAAGCGTGAGTCCAAGCCCTCCTCCAACATCAACCAACTCTTTAAGATTCTTGAAGCCTTTATACTTATCTAAGATATTTTCCATAAGAAGACGAGTCAAGTTTATCATTGCTTTGTTGAAGAGTTCATTGAATTGGGGAAATTTGGCAGTATATTCATACAAAATTTGGCAGTATATTCATACACGTGCATTTCATGGACCCTGTTAAATGGAACTCCACCTTCAAGAACTGCATCTTCTAGGCCATACCTGCACACTCAAAGAAATAAAAACTAGGCATATATATTATCTTGGCAAACCAATATATTTAATAATTTATTGTTTTTTTTTATTACTGATTACTTTTTAATTGAAGTCTGAATTTATAATTCCCAATTATTTTGCAAATGTTTCCAATTAGTCAATAACACTATAGCAAAGCATAATCGTAAAATTCATCGGTACTTCAAATATATTTTCAACTGACCAGCTATCCATGAAGGCCTTGCAGTGTAGCAAATGCATTGGAGGAGCGAGCGACGTGTTTCCTTCGCTGTTCAGAAAATATTTGGAAATGGGTGCTAAGCCATAGAGCCAGTTTGTGCTGTTGTTATCACCATCTAGCTTGTTAACAGAATTGGTGCAAGTAACTACAGAATAGCTAGCAAGAAGGCGTAGGATGCGATCCACCATTTGTGATGCTTGTGAATTTTTAGTAGGTAATTGTGATGCAATCTCTTTAGCAGAGAGATATGCTCCCATCTCTTCGCAGGAGAGATATGCTCCCATATCCTGCTGCTGGATATATTTATCTAGGATTCAGACTCTGCAGTATTTCATCGCCTATTTGAGAAGACAAAAAGGCACATTGATAATCGCAATAGGTAGTTTATCGCATAGCGTAGTTCAAATCCTCTTCTTCTGTACCTTGAGTGGTATACTCTCCAAGAGATTCAATTGAAGCCATGAGTTTATGTTGTTTAGAATGAATGAGAAGGAAATGGAATGGGCGACACATATAAATGTTCGATTGAACACCTAAATTTAACTAATTGCACCGTTTTTTGTTGTGGGTCCCTTCGACACATGGGACACAGAAGTTTAAAAAAAAAAAAGGAAACAAGCTGCGTTTTTTTTTTTTTTAAAGGTCAAATCAGGCTGTAGACAGAAAAAAAAAAGGAAGAAAATGTTGAAATTTTGGACACGTTAATAGGGCATCTATTCGGTGGACGCATTAATAATGCGTCCCCCTCTTCTCCTATAAGTAGAAGAAGGTTTTCCCTAAACAAACACTCAAAAACAAAGAATAGGAATACACAATCAAGTGTAGAGAATTTTAAAAAAAGGTTCCTAAAATTGGGCAAGAGAGAAAATAGTGACAATTATAATTTTTTGGGTGTTTTTGCGAAACACTTAGAGTGCCATTATTTTTGTAATCTCTTTTGCACCTACTATTTTTGGTGGAAGAATTATTCGGAGTTTTTGTCCTGTGGACGTAGCCCATATTAGCCCATAAACAGTTGAAGGGATGAACCACGTAAATACGGTTGTCTTATTTTCATCTGGCATTACGAGGCTAATTATTTAATTTTTGTTATTGTGATTATTATTTCTGGTGGATTCGATCGTCAATATCCATACTCAATATCCAATACGTAATTATTGGAGGTAGATGTGGTAATAGTAATTTAAATCTTTATCGGCGCTATTAACTTTTATCGTCGGTAATTTTATTTTACTTCTACCAAAGAATAGGAATACACAATTAAGTGTAGAGAATTTTAGAAAAAGGTTCCTAAAATTGAGCAAGAGAGAAAATAGTGAGAATTATAATTTTTTGGGTGTTTTTGCGAAACACTTAGAGTGCTATTATTTTTGTAATCTCTTTTGCACCTACTATTTTTGGTGGAAGAATTATTCGGAGTTTTTGTCCTGTGGACGTAGCCCATAACAGTTGAAGGGTGAACCATGTTTAAATCTCGTTCCTTATTTTTCCATCTGGCATTTTACGGTAATTATTTAATTATCGCATAGCGTAGTTCAAATCCTCTTCTTCTGTACCTTGAGTGGTATACTCTCCAAGAGATTCAATTGAAGCCATGAGTTTATGTTGTTTAGAATGAATGAGAAGGAAATGGAATGGGCGACACATATAAATGTTCGATTGAACACCTAAATTTAACTAATTGCACCTTTTTTACATAAATATTTCAATTTGAAAATTAAGATAATTACTAATTTACCCTTTTATTTTACCAAAATTAACTATAATAATCCTATATTTTAAAAAAAGAGATGATTTTATACCTCCATCCAAATATACTTTTCTTACTACTTATATTTTTTTAGTTTTTCGTTAAACAACTTGGGGACAATTCCCATTGTATTCTTGTATTTTATTAAATTAATTATTGTCCTTCTATTTTTATTGATAAGATAATATATTTTTAAATTAGGACAAAGTGGTTAATTTTTATAAAATATAATGATAAAATAGTAAGCATTTCTAAGGCTTCTTATAATATAATTGGACGAAATCAAATTTCAAAAATAAAATAATCTATTTGAAAATACAGATATGAAGTAATTAATTATGCTAAGATTTTGAGAAAAATAGTAATTATCCCTTGAAACTTTAGTTGTTGTACCTAAAACGAAAGTTGCAACTCGAAAATTGAAGCACTTAATCTCAATATGATGCAAAAAGTCGACAGTGAAGAAGAAAAATAATTAAATAAAATTATGAATTTATTCAATAAAATTAATTATTTTGATAGCCGTTAGATATATTTTAGTAGCGTTTAGTTGTTAATAGCTTTTTATAAGATGTTGAAAGTTAAATTTTATATAATAACTTTTTATACTATGCTGCCTTAAACTAATTTTTCATAAAACGTTATTTTTTATAACTTTTAAAAGTTAATTTAACCGATATTCTTAAAAAAAAAAAAAAAAGGTTGTTAGGACCACATTCTTTCGTTAAAGCTAGCTAAAAAGATGGTGGGTTGTTAGGACCACACTCGTTCATTAAACGCCACCTATGCTATGGTGGGCTAGCTAGACAAGAAAATAGGGGATTATTAGTTATGGCCTAATGTATTAAAGTAATTCAAGCTATCCAGAACCCTTTTTTTTTTTAATTTTTTCGTCAACTAAACTCTTCAAAACAATGCCATTTTATGTTCGCAAAAAACTCCTAATTTTTCTCTTTCTTCGCTCTTTTTATATCAAAAGAAATAAGATAAATCCTTTTTTCATGATTTAGCCTTTCTTTTCGGTCTCTATCCCCTTTGTTTCCAATATTTTGGCTGCCTTTGGTTTTTGAGCCAGTCTTAATTGCTCAAATGTGAACTAGCTACAGGTTACAAAGTACAAATTGATTTTGTAGTAAAAACATATACTCCTTAGATGTGTTGTGTGTGCAATCTATTCTCTTCTCAAAATATTGTTTTACCTTAGATTCGATAGGAATCGTTCGATTCATTCATGAATCATACGATTCTGACAACACTGGTGTTGTGTACTTATAGATTTGCGCAATTTTCGTTCCTATAGATTTTGTTATTATATTTAAAGGAGAGAAAAAAATAGCTATAAAATGATACATGTTCAATTATTTTTTATTGTCTCTAGTGATAAAACAAGGAAAAAACATAAAAAGAATGAGGTTTACTTTCCTAATCGGGTCCATGGTTCATCCGTAGACTAAATTAATGAAAATAAAATTTTTATTCAAACAAGTAAGTGATGCGGAGCAACTTGCATTTCAATATATGGAAGACTTGGATCGCTGCAAACCCAAGAAGAAGGAGCACAACCGTGCCATTTTCAGCACGCCCGTGCCAATCTCAGAAGTCCAGGGCACGCTCGTGCTAGCCTCTGGAAGTCCAGGACGCGAGACACGCCCAAACCTAAAAAGCACATGCATGCTCGTGTCACTTTCCAGCCCTCCCATACTAGCCTCTGGAAGTCCAGGACACGCCCGTTCCGTGCTAAGCACGCCCATGTTGACGGGTCCAGTTACGATTCGAACATAGACATGCCCGTGTCACTTCTAGCACTCCCTGTGCCAACCTCTAGAAGTCTAGGACACGCTCGTGTCATGTCAAGCACGCCTGTACCGCCACCCTTACTGGGGTTTTGTCTAATTACGAATTTTTTATTATTTTTTTAGGGTTTTATGTTTAGCCTAAACCTATAAATAGGTTATTTTGTTATTATAAAGCATTCATTATTGTTGATCATTATCAATAAACTTCTTTGAGAGTTTAGTTCTCTATTTTATTCGTCAGATCAAATGTTATTAATCAAAACTCTTGACGGAGTATAATCATTTTTTCCCATTCACATAACCGTTCTGCGTCAGTTGGTATCAGAGCCGAAAGGAAAAGTATCTCCATGGCCGAAAATCATGAAACATGAATAAAAGCCATAAAGGCGAAGTTTGAAGAGTTAACCGAGCAGATTAGACAGTTGACTCTCGCAACCCAACAAGGCAACCCACAACCTGCAGTTGCAATAACAGTTTCAAATCTGCAGCAATAAGATTATGCAAGATGCCAAAATCGTTATGATGGAGGCCTAGATTACAGAGGCAATGGTTAAAATTTTCACGATGAATACAAAATAAAGGTAGATCTTTAACCTTTCTCAGGATCATTAGATATTGAAAGCACTCTTGATTGGCTAGCAGAGGTAGAGAGATTCTTTGAGGTCATGAATGGTGCCGACTCATTATCGACAATTGCAGCTATAAAAATTTGATAGCCAAACAGCTGGTTGAGAAGCTAAATTTGCCCACCGAACCACATCCTTCACTGTACAAGGTAGGGTGGATTAAGGAGGGTGGAAAGTCGTAGACAGATTCTGTTAGTTGTGATGTTGTGGATATGGATGCTTGCGGGGTACTGTTGGGTCGTCCATGGCAGTTTGATGTAGACACATTTCATAAAGGGAGAGAGAACTCATATATATTCACTTGGAAAAATAAGAAAATCACTGTCCTACCTTCTGGATCTTCTGCCAAAGCTTCTAAAATGGAGGGGAAATCCATAGTAGCTGTTTCTTTAAATGTGTAGGAACTGTCGAGTGCGATTGAAAAGTCCAGAGGTGCGCTAGCTTTGTTGATCAAACCGAAAACAGATTCTAATGAAAGGGCACTAGTACGACCACCTGTAAAGGAGTTGTTAGATGAGTTTAGATGAGTTCAATTACTTTAGTGAAGAACCATCTACCTCCACCTTTTGGACATCAACAGTCAGATTGATTTTTTCATCCCTGGATCCTTTCATCCCTGGATCAAAGATACCGAACCTACCCCATTATAAGATGAATCCAAGGGAGAGCTAGATTCTTCAAGAACAGGTAGAAGAATTATTGAAGAAGGGACATATCCAGGAGAGCATTAGACCTTGTGGAGTTCATGCCTTATTGGTACCAAAGAAGGATGGGACTTAGAGGATGTGTGTGGATAGTCGAGTAGTCAATAAGATCACAATGCAGTATCGATTTCCTATTCCTCGTCCGGAGGACATGTTGAACCAATTGTCAATTTCTATAGTATTCTCCAAAATAGATCTTCGCAGCGAGTATCATCAAATCCGTATCAAAAAGGGAGATGAATGGAAGACTGCATTTAAGACTAAGGAGGGATTATACGAGTGGTTAGTTATCCCATTTGGGTTGACTAATGCAACGAGCACGTTCATGCGACTTATGACTCAGGTTTTGTGTCCTTTCTTGCAAAAATTTATGGTTGTTTG